GTATAGAAGAACTAAAAAAAGAAGTGACAAATATATATATATATATATATATATATAAGCTTAAAGTTGCCAAAAAAAATTGGCTACAAAATGTATCACTTTAAAAACATAAGTAATTAAATAAAAACAGTCAACAAGTTTTTGCACAAATTAACACTGCAGAGTTAAAAAAATTAAACCGTTAAAAATAGTAACAATGTTTGAAAGTCTTTTAAAAAGCAATACGTTAAAGTGTTAAATGTACTTGATTCAATAATAAAGCACAGTTTTGGCAGCAGAACTCGGTGCAGTCATGCCCAATAAAATCAAACCAACCATGCAAACGGGAGGTCAGGTGGTAACAACTACCACCCCTGTGCATTTTTCCCTACAAAGCCTTTAGAGCCACTTCTGTTGCACTTGGTTCCCCAAGAACTCAGTTCCACTCCAGTCTGGGCGCTTTGGTTCCTGTATTTGGCACACAGTAAAGCTCGGCTGAGTTGATCAGACTCAAGCGTAGAGGGCAGGTGGAGGGCGTACCCTACACCCATAGTTACACAACAAACCTCTTCCTTTGTAGACATTTACATGTTACCCATCATTCACTACACATTGCATCACCCGTTTTGGGATTGGCTTGGTCGCTTCGTAGGAACCAATCCCTGTACAGCATGCTCAATCCATGCACTGTTATTGGATGACTTACTCTTTACCTCATCTTATGATCCAGGCATCTCTTACCCATCGTTATTGTGTCCATTGTAGATGGTTCCCTGGGGGTTCCCGCTTATTTTAGCTCGTACAAACATTCTGCTTCCAACCTGCTGATTTATCTACCTCCCTAATCCTGTCACCTGAGAAATTAGGCCTGACCCATGTTCAATTACTCATGTCAAGTCAGGCCTATGTTCCACTGCTTTTGTTTTTTCTTTTGGTTTCTCTTCAGATCATATAAATCTTTCGCCTTTTACATAAGAACGGCCACACTGGGTCAGACCAAAGGCCCATCTAGCCCAGTGTCCTGTCTTCCGACAGGTTTCAGAGTAACGGCCGTGTTAGTCTGTATCCGCAAAAAGAAGAACAGGAGTACTGAGATGCCACAAGTACTCCTGTTCTTCTTTTTGTCTTCCGACAGTGGCCAATGCCAAGTGCCGCAGAGGGAATGAACAGAACAGGGAATCATCAAGTGATCCATCCCCTGTCGCCCATTCCCTGCTTCTGGCAAACAGAGACTAGGGACACCATCCCTGCCCGTCCTGGCTAATAGCCATTGATGGACCTATCCTCCATGAACCTATCTAGTTCTTTGTTTTAGTTGCATTATATTTTAGGATTTTTGTGTTTGTTTTTTGCAGTGGACTACTTAGCAACACAATTTTAAGGCTACAGTAACTATAATTATTTGAACCACCATTAATACTAGGTTTAAAGTACTAACTAGGAGGTGGAAGTTTACCTCTTTGCTACAGCCCACCAGGGTGTAATTCCACATTAGAAACTTGCTTTGCCTTTAAAGCGTTTTTTGTCATTTTAATTTTGCTTTTATTTTAATTTCATTATAAAAAAAACAAACCTGGTACAATATATATATATATATATAATTTCCTTTCATTACTACAAGAAATTTATGTGTGAAACGGAACACAGGTCAATTCAATTAACATTTCCTGAGTACATGCCAGAAGAGATCCTTTTTAGCCCCCAGACAATGTTTGTTATCACCAGCATAGGCAATTTTTACGTTACTAACATTTCAGTGTTTTAACCCTGCTGTGCAATTTGGAGCCTCTTTTCCCAAAGCAAACCCTTGTGCCTGCAACTTTGTCTGTAAGATGTTACACCTGCCTGTGTAAGTTTCCCAGATGCAAACAGCAGAACAAGTCTGGGAGTTTTTAGACTTTGTGTTGTTTTCTAACAGTATTTGATTAGGGAAATGAAACTTTTTTTTTATACCACATCAGTTGCAGTGGTTTTACATTTAACTTCCTGCTATCAGACCCTTGTTGATTTCTTTATTATTATTATTATTATTTTGCACCAACTGTTGTCATTTTTATTGTCTTAAATTTTTAACATTTGTGGTGACCAAAGAGGACAAGGTTTTTTGCTTCATTTTACTTAAGGCTGCTTTTACTTTGTATAGCATGTCTTTTGCACATATTATTAGAACACATTGACTTAATTTGATAACTTTTTAAAAGCAATGACAACATTATGTATATTATAACAAAGCTTTATTAAGGAGGTTTTTTTTTCTTATTTAATGGCTCCAGTACTTTGCTTCCAGTATTTTCTGTTGAAATGCTTGGTTATGTTTTTACAGCATATTTATGTCAGTTTGGTTTTAGAGTATCATACTAATTTTGAACAGTTTGGGGGGGGGGTTTAGGGTTACCATACGCCCGGATTTTCCCGGACATGTCCGGCTTTTTGGTCCTCAAATCCCCGTCCGGGGGGAATTGCCAAAAAGCCGAACATGTCCGGGAAAATGCTTTGCCGGCATCCCTGTCCCCTGCTTACCTTAGAGGGGCTCCGGCTCCAGCGGCTGCTGCTCCCCCCCCAGACACCTCAGCTCTGTGGATCTGAAGAGCCGAGCTGCCCGGCAAACCGTGAAGCTGGTAGCGCTCGGGCAGCTGTTTCGCGTGGCTGGGAGGGAGGAGGAGGGGGAATGCGGGGCGCTCAGGGGAGGGGGCAGAGTTGGGGCAGGGACTTTGGGGAAGGGGTTGGAATGGGGCGGAGTTGGGGCGGGGCCGGGAAGGGGCAGAGTTCGGGTGGGGAAGGGGTGGGGCCAGAGCCCCGTGGAGTGTCCTCTTTTTTAAATGTTTTAATATGGTAACCCTAGGGGGTGTTTGCTTGCCTACCATCCCCTCCCTGCCTTGGCAGTTTTAGGTTCTGGCAGTATATTTTAAAACTTTAAAGTATATATTTTTGTTTAGAAAGTTTTTATCTGTTTTTAATGATACTTCACCAAATTTTAGTGGGCATCATTTTTTATGCAGATTGGTAAAATTTAGTAACACAGACACACAAATAAACTGAACATTTTTGTGTAATATTTTAATAGGCTTTAACCCTAAACTATTTGGACTTGTTTTTAGTTTCAGACATTTCAGTTTGCTTTTTTTTAGTTTTCAAACCTTTATTATATAGTTTTTGTTTTTACTTTCTTACTAACATTTATTTTACAGTACAGTTAAGCAGAACTTTTGGATAGGATTTGAATGGTTGGCAGTTTGGACATGTTTTTGAATGCCCACTGCACCCTTTAAAGTAGCTTTATTATTTATAATTCATAAACTGTTAAAAAAACAGAATGTGGATGGCACTTTGGAATGGAATTTTGATGATTGGGCTTCGCTCCTTATGTTTACTGATTTACTTTATTTTACTGATGCTGGGTTGCTTTTTGCTGTTAAAGCACACTTATGCAGTGTATAGTGGGATGCAAGGTATACCGAATGTAATGTAATATGTAAATGTATCTAAAGGAGGGTGGTTTCAGTGTAACTTTGGATGTGTGGTATACCCTGTACCCACCCCCAATGTTTGAATCTGATCAACTCAGCATAGCTTTGCTGTATGCCAAATAAAGGAACTTGAGTGACAAAATTGGAGTCGAACTGAGTTCTTGGGGAACATCTTGAAGGCTATTCCAAAAACACTCACTGTTAAAAAATTTACACCGCATTTCCAGTCTGAATTTGTCTAGCTTCAACTCCCAGTCATTGGATCGTGTTAGACCTTCCTCTGCTAGATTGAAGAGCCCATTATTAAATATTTGTTCCCCAGGTAGGTACTTACAGACTGAGATCAAACCACCCCTGAGCCTTCTCTTTGTTATGCTAAATAGATTGAGCTCCTGCAGTCGATAAAGCAGGTTTTCTAATCCTTTAATCATTCTTGTGGCTCTTCTCTGAATCTCTCAAGTTTATCACCATCCTTCTTGAATTGTGGGCACCAGGACTGGATACAGGATCAGGGGCGGCTCTATGTATTTTGCCGCCCCAAGCACGGCAGTCAGACAGCCTTTGGGGGCATGCCTGCGGGCGGTCCGCTGGTCACGTGGATTCGGTGGTGTTTCTGCGGGTGATCTGCCGGTCCCGCGCCTTCGGCATACCTGCTGCCAAATTGCCACCAAAGTCGCGGGACCGGCAGACCTGCCGCAGGTATGCTGCCGAAAGCTGCCTGACTGCCGCCCTCACAGCGACTGGCACGCCGCCCCCCGCAGCTTGCTGCCCCAGGCATGCGCTTGCTGCGCTGGTGCCTGGAGCCGCCCCTGCACAGGATTCCAGCAGCGGTCACACCAGTGCCAAACACAGAAGTAAAAATAACCTCTCTGCTCCTACCTGAGATTCCCCTGTTTATACATCCCAGGATCCCATTAGCTCTTTTGGCCAGAGTCACACTGGGAGCTCAAGTTCCGCTGATTATCCACCAAATCGTTTTCAGTCGCTGCTTCCCAGGATAGAGTTTCCCATCCTCTAAGTGTGGCCCATATTCTTTGTTCCTAGATGTGTACATTTACAGTTAGCCATATTCAAATGCAGATTGTTTGCTTGCACTCAATTCAGATTGCGCTGTACAAGTGGCATTAACTAATTAATTAATGACTTCATTAATTACCACTCCCCCAAATTTTGTGTCATTGGCAAATCTAATCACTGATGATTTTCTGTTTTCTTCCACGTCACTGATAAAAATGTTAAATAGCGTCGGGCCAAGAACCAATCTCTTGTGAGCAGTTCTTCTTTATCTGGTAAGACAAAGTCTGACGAAGAATTCCCCTGCTGTGGTGGCTGTGGCGTTTTTTAGTTAGGTGGGGTGTAAGCAGAGTAAGGGGTGTGAT